GTTTTATGGAAATTGTTCTGGGCATGTTCTTACTTTCAGGAACTGTTGTTTGTGTTCTCAAATTGTTCAACCATATGTTGAAATAGTATCCCAGTTCTTCACAACTTGTCAGAGTCTGTAACATTTTTTTAGGCAACGGGCAGAATAGTTTAGAGCTGTACTGATACTCTTTATTGCAAAAGTCCAGTTCCAACCCGTGGATAGCAGATACAGGTCAACACTAGCTTTGGTTAATGATAAACATAAATAAGAAAGTGTTAGGTACATGTATATGAAGAACCATTCTAACTTTTACAGGAAAAATAACTTTTTACTGTGACCACTTATATTGGCTTTTTACAAACAGATCGCTTTCTTTGCTAAGAAAGTGAATTGCTCTTGTAATGCTTATATTAACATAAAAAGGAAGCAAAACTTTTAACTTTTTATGAAGTACCTGTCTGTAAACCTCCTCTTAGCAAGTCTTCTGCTGCGGGAGGGGTCAGAGGCAGTTAACAGTTGATAGCAGTGTTCAAAGTACACATTCAAAGTAGTAGTTTTGTTTCGAGGACTCCTTATATCATAGTGGCTTTTGGGGGTTAAAGTTAATACTGCTTCCTGAGCCTACAGTCACCAATAATTTGATTAGAAGATCTGGAATATCATTTGAGACTTGGAAGATAAGTACAGTCCTGTTGCAGTCTAAAGTTCTGTGCTGATACCCAGATGTAGCTGAAAATGTAACAGGGACTGAAATCCACACGGTTGTAATAGTTTATTTTCCCTTCAGCTTCATTGTGCATAGAACATGTGCCCCATCACATCTGCCTGTCTCCCTGGGCTGCTTAAACCACAGGCTGATCTAGTCTGCAACACACTAACAGTGCATTTTGGCTGCAGAGGTCTCCCAGTGAGTGTCTCAGACCATGTTCGGACAGAATGATGAAGTTAAATGTTTAGTAGTATTGTGATCCTGGAAACTGGTAAACTAAAAGGGGTATCAGTGCTCAGATGAAATACCTAGATAATGAGTCGATCATTTCAGTCTAGGACTTGGTCACTGCTGACCATTAAATTGGGACTAGCACTACTTAATGTATTATATATTTGAAGTCGATTTGGACACTTGAATCATCTTCTTTTTCAAGGCAACTTTGCAAATTGAATAGGGCAGTCTGTATGCTGGATTGGCCTTTAAAGACTTCTGTTCATGAGGAGGCCCCTTCATGCGGAACTGCAATCATTTCTGCAAATGCATACCTGTATTACTTGATGTGCTCTGTTGATAAATAGGGTTGTACTGCACTTAAAATCAAACACATGTACATACAGAGTGAAAATTGACTGGGAGGAGTAAGATAAGATGTGGGGAGCTTTGAACTTGAGAAGAAAGGCTAGAGTGTTAGGTGTAATCAGTGGGAATCTTGACAAGATAACATTGCTAGATAGACAGCCAAAGAACCCGGTATTTTCAGATGTTAAGTTGTTCATATTTTCAGTGAAGGCATATGGCTTGTTTAAAACAATTGACATAAACTTTAAATTCATACTGCAACTAAATATAACTCTGGTTTCTATCATGGAGTGGGAATTGTAAATTGTCTCATTCAGTATAGACTCATGCACAGCTAAATAAAATGGATTTTTTTTTTTTTTTACTTCCTACAGGGACCAGATTGTTTTTAAACAGATTCCTTTATTGTGTGCTGAAGCTCAGTATTAAATTCTAAAATAGTATTCTGTGCATGAATAAAAGGATTCTGTGAATAAGGCTGTGATGATTTGAACCAAACCCTACTCTTGCTCTTCCAAGAAACAGTGAATTTTATAGTTAGCAGGGCTGTTTTAATCATTAGTTAATATTTGGCTACACTACACTTTGAGAACATGTATCTGGGCAGTTTTGAAAGCAGCCGATTTGATTTCTTCAGAGCTGTTGCAGAAATCAAATGACTATTTAGGATTAAAAACTTTGGTTAAAATAATAGATGAAAGTACTTCTGCAGCTTGACTTACCATAGTTTTACATCTAAAATAGTATTATATCCGTTTAGAATGTAGCAGCTCTGTTCTGAGCAATGCAAATAGATATTCACCTTCTAATTTCTTGTCATCTTTCAAGCCTTGGGTGATACTTTTACTTGTTCTGTGGACTGAAATTAAATTGAATTTAAAAAGCTGCCCCAAAACAACAAAATCCCCTATTTCTTTCCTCTCTTACAGTATATGGGAAAAAACCTACTTGCAGATGAGATCTGCACTAGAGTGCTCACTAAAAATTTCCTGTGGGTTCCTATCTATCATAGGATGATTTCCTATCTATATTCCATTTCAGTTATGCTCATGAAAGTATATTCAAGACTATAAATGACTTAGTGTCATAGCTGTTATTTTGCAAAGAGCTGCTTAAAATAGTTCTGTAATTGACCCTGATGTACAGCTTTCCTGCCTATTGGAAATGCCTTGAATATTTTACTACAGCCTTCTCAAATGGAGATGGTGAGTGAATAATGTGTCTTATCTTAAATTGTTGAGATAAACTTAGAAAGCTGTAGTGTCATAATAAATTTAACACTTCAGTTCCCGTGATTTGGGCAATTGATAATGATAGTAGCAGTTTTCATGGAAATACTGATGCTCAAATATCAGTACGAGAGCAGGGGTCTCTTCTAGTACTTCAGATCTTGTGAATATTGTGTTTGAGCTTGAATAACTTAGAGCTGTTCAGAAGGAGCAGGTTGGGAAATGACTTGTAAACTTTGCCTTATGTTCTATCCAGTTACTTGAACGTTTTAAGATTTTTTTTTTTAAATCTTTTTTTAAAAAAAATCTCTTTAAAAGCCTCTTTTTTGTGTTACAGAGTGATTAAGTCTTTAGGAGTGCTGTCGAATGTGGTGCTGTACTTGAGTTGGCTGTAGTTTTCCAGCTGCTTTAAGTACTTTGAAAATATTTATGCAGATTGACGGGCGTTATACCACATTGCACTGAGTTATTGGCCTGTTGTTAGTGATATCTGAAAACCAGCTGCTATTGTATGTCTGCATATAAACCTTATGACATCAGGAGAGCATATTGAATAGTTTTGCCATTTTTGGCCTAGGTCACTGTTTGTCTAATGCTATTTTCTCTTGCTGCTCAAGGGCATTGTGGCTTAAATTAGCCTTCACATGCTATAATGATACAAAAAGGGAATTTGGCTATTTATTGGATCCCTTCATATACATGTGCTTATAAAAACACGCATCTAAGTCTACAAGCAAAACTACACAAACTTTTGCTGGTTTTAATGGTTGGAGGTCTCTTTGACCTTAGAGAAGTCACATGGTGCAACTTTACTTAACGTTTGAAGTAGCACTTAATTCTCCTCTTCAGCCTTTTGTTTCATGGCTTTCCTGTGTGAGTGGCTGTACGCCCTAAGGCTGTAACACCACTGCGGAGTTTTTCGTTGTATTATTTGTAAGCGTGCATTATTGCTATTAGTTGCATAAGCAGTTCCTGCAGGAATTGCAGCTTGTTTTAATTTTACTGCAGGGACACAGAGTCCATCCACTGAGAAGATCAGCTCTTTTTAGATAGTTATTGTCCCTTCTTTGGTTTTTTGCATTATTTTATAATAAAAAAGAAGTTGACACTTGAATGCTTGCAGTGTTAAATTACATTAGGAATAAGTTTGATATGTATTCATTAGAAATATTGACATTTAATGTAGACCCCCCCCCCCCCCGTGAGTTGGAAATACGACTTTCATTAATATGCTTTAGCAAGTTAATTTGCGTGCAGCCATTTATTTGCAGTAGTCATAAAATGGTGGAGCTTTAGTTCTTAGAATTCTTAAAAACTAGGGAAAGCTAGGTAAGAGAAAGTAGGAAGGTGGAAGAGTTAATTCTGGGATGATAGAGATGCTGGAGCTAAATGGGCCACACAGCTCTGGCAACTGAATTCATCACACTCTGCCATCTTCAGGAGTGTCCTGTTAACCTCTTGTATCATCTCCTGCCTTGGTGTCTCAAACACTTGCTAGTGGAGCTTTTTTGGTTTGTGGGTTGTTTTTTTGTTTTTCTCCAGTGTTGTCTACTTTGCAGAAGACATATATATGACAAGAGAAACACAGCATAGAGTTCTGCAAAACTTTTAACTAGGCTATGGTATATTTAATAGAGTAGTATTACTGAAAAGTAAAGCTAGTGTATGATCTGAAATTAACTTCCAACTCTGAATCATCTGGCAGTATTCAAAGTATAACATTAAAAGAATAGATTTGGAGAAGCATATTATTCTCACAATTGGTGCCAAAGGGGAAAAAAGGTACAACTTCTTTTAGTTTCTAAATAAATAAACATGGGTAACATTCTGATTGTTGGAGAGCAAAAGGCTTACTTTGGGCATAGAGAAAACAACCAGAAGACTTTCCAAGGCAGTTGTTCTGGGAAGGAAGTTTGGTTCACCTTAGCTAAGGGTTTTGGTTACTTACAAATATGTATTCTGAAATTGGTATCTTTCTCTTGAGAATGTTTTCCCTGTGCTATCAAGTGGTAGTCATGTGATTAGAAAAACAATCCAGTGATTTACAGCTTCGTTCTTTGAGGTTAGGTGGGGTAGAGATCCTGAAGACTGATCTAAATTGCCAAAATATATTGGATACTCAGAAAATTGGAGTACTGCAAACCAGAAAAGCAGTAATAAGCTGTTAGTAATCTTAGTCATATGAACAGTTACTGGAAAATCATTTTCTTGGCTGATAGAGGTAATAGTACGCTTGGTTAGAACTCTGTCAAATAACAAAATTCTAACTTTGTCTTGTTCATTTCTTTGTAGTTGGAGACAAAGTTACTTCTATCAAATCTACAACACTACGGGTAGACCAGTCAATTCTCACAGGTATAATTGCTGTGAATTTTGGATAATAATATGCATAACTGAACGTGCCTTTTCACTGTCTGTTTAGAATAATCCATTAGCAACAAGCCTGTAGCTGTTCAAGCAACTGTGTTGCATTCAAATGCAGTAAATTTCTGATCTAGTAACTTAACTCTCAGTGTAGCTGAATGCATTGCTTCATCATTGGCTTTACATGTTTGCTTTAGTGGGATGAACATTCTTACTGAGACTTGTAATGCTTTTTTGGTCCCTGACCGTGTCCCGTCCGTCGTCGTCCTCCCCGCCCCCCCACAGAGATGCACACAAGTAACTTGTGGGAAACTGCATTTTTAATTTTTTTATTTTAGTCTTCTAGGTTTGAACATCTTGTCACTGCTCAAATATGAAAGCATGGATATCTTAGTAAACATCTTCTGTAACAATTATGCATTTTCTCTCACAAGAGAATATTTTTTTTTTAATGCAGGCAGCTTTTAAACTGCAGTTACTAAAGATTCGATATACTAAAGCCTTATTTGCTGAAATTCTGTGCATGCACATTCATGTGTTTTCTGGTACCACCTCTCAAGTGCAGGAGCTATATTTAGAGCAGCTTTTTGTTGAAAACAAAACAAAGTAGCAGTACTTCTGAATATAGGAAAGAAGCTAGGAATCAACCAAGCATGCTATAACATTTTTCTCTCAGCTGGAACATGAAGATCTGTCTGCCTGTTTTGGTAGCATAAATTAATGTTAACTAGCCCTGAAGTTTAAAACAGTAAAGTATTCATAAGAAACCTATTTTTGATCCTCGAATCTGTCTTGAAACAGGCCCCAAAGTTTCTCAGCACAGATCCTGAATAGCACAGAACTGATCAAACTTGCTTAGGTTTAGCATAAGAAAATGTAGGCACTCCATGTTTGTCAAGCTATCAGAACTGAAATAAGTAGAATAAATAATCCACCAGAAGTCTATATAAAGAGAATAATTCCTCACTATTGTTTAAATAACGGATTTATTTTTTAAACGAAAACTTTTTCTGTTTTCAGCCTATTTTAAGTTGATGCTTGAGTCTCTTAGCTAATAAAGTAGGACTGAAGTGTAAGATGCTACTTAAAGCTTCTAAAAGTAGGAAGCTTTGGCTCTCTTGAGCTTACAAGAAGTAGTGTGCTCTTAGCTTCAGTCACTGAGTTACCACCTTGTGAAATGTGCTGTAGTAATTAACATCTGTGTTTCTAGAAAATAAACCTTTCTGTACCTGTGTGTCATGTTTATAGAAATTGAGACATTTAAGGTTTTTATGGAAGAGTTCTCTGAAGACTTCCAACTAGAGTTAATTAACAGATGGCTACATGACATTTAATTTTTCTGTATTTTTTAAGGTCTGCCAGTATAATTGTGATGTATACCATCACAGATGTATAACTGTGGTAAGACCTAACTATTTAAATGAGAACACACCTCTTACAGTGCATAGAGAACAGAAATGCTCATTACTGCATGAGAAGCATGCAAAAAAATATTTAATTCATACAGTAGATCTTGCTACACTAAAAGGAGTGGAGTACCAGCTGCTTATTTGACCACTTTTCATGTTCCTTAAAAGACATGGTATATGCTTTATTAAATCTAACTGTATAAAATGCTTACGTAAATCCTTTCCTATATTCATTAAAAGCCAACCATTCAATTTTTTTGGTCAACTGAAATATTTCCTATTTCACTTAAGCAATTACATAAAATCATTTGAGGAAAGAAGTTTGGCATCCTGAAAAATTTTAGGACTGAAGATTATAACTTTTTGATTCCCTACAGGGCTCAGGATGATACATACATACATTCTTTTAAGACTATTATCTTCATTTTAGGTGAATCCGTGTCTGTTATTAAGCATACTGACCCTGTGCCTGATCCTCGTGCTGTAAACCAAGACAAGAAGAATATGCTTTTCTCTGTAAGTTACTACTTTTTTTTAATTTTCAAAACTTCTATAAAATAATACTGAAACTGATAAACAAATGTACAGAGCTTCATTCAGGTCTTCACCACAAAGCTGTATGACTTCTCTGCTCTTTTCTCTATATGTATCTGCATGTGTGTCTCCAGGTACATCAATCTAAATGAATTAAAAAATAGAAGTAACTTTTACTAAAAGCTGTCCTAGGAGGATGCTTGTTGAAACAAGTTTATATGAGGAAACTGATTTTTTTTTTGTGCTTCACAAGAAAGACTTGAAGGCTGGAGTACATGCACTTTTAAGGTGCTTCTGCACTACTTTTCTAAAGTAATAGTTCTTAAGGCTGATAAGAATGCCCACACAAATTGCGGTATTGTGTGGCTAAAATTGACAACTAGCTTTCTATATAGGAATGAAACTGTTTATTCAAATTTGTTTACAGGAAGCATTGAATGCCTTTCAGACAACAAAATAACAGTTCTGTTATTGTTGGTAGACTCCTTGTAGAAAATCTAACTGTTCTTTCTTGTATTAAGTAAGTTCACACAGGGAGCCTCACGGAACAGATCTATTACATTAAATATCATTAAATCTGGCAAAATAAAATCCTTATTAAAAAAGGAAAAACACACTTAAGATTCCAGTTAAATACATACTGCTTACTCAGCAGATGAGTTTGACAATGCTGTGTACAATAGATCAGTACTGATTCATGTTGAGCTCATTCTGTAAGCAGAAATTCTACACTGGAGTATTCTCTTACAGATACTGGGGGGATGTCATTCTCTTCCTCTTCACCTTTTTCCATTTCCTAACTGAAATGCAGTCTGGACTTGTATAAGGTGTTTGTTTTGTTCTTGTAATTAAAAAAAAAGGCCAAAACAAAACACAACAAAAGCAAACAGAAAACTTGCCATCAAAACGTGTTTATAGATTGACCACAAGTTTTCTCTTCTCTTTATTTACATAAGGGTACTAATATTGCTGCTGGTAAAGCTATGGGAGTGGTTATTGCAACAGGAGTAAACACTGAAATTGGCAAAATTCGTGATGAGATGGTGGCAACGGAACAAGAGAGAACCCCGCTCCAACAGAAACTGGATGAGTTTGGAGAGCAGCTGTCTAAAGTCATCTCGCTTATCTGCATCGCTGTTTGGATAATAAACATTGGTCACTTCAATGATCCGGTTCACGGTGGCTCCTGGATTCGAGGTGCTATCTATTACTTTAAAATTGCTGTTGCTCTTGCTGTTGCTGCTATTCCTGAGGGTCTGCCTGCTGTCATTACCACCTGCTTGGCTCTTGGAACTCGGAGAATGGCCAAGAAGAATGCTATTGTTAGAAGTCTTCCCTCTGTGGAAACCTTGGGTTGCACCTCAGTTATTTGTTCTGACAAGACCGGTACTCTGACCACGAATCAGATGTCAGTCTGCAGGGTATGTTGAACTATCTTCTTCTATTTTTCTTTTTCTCCTCAGCCACTCTGAATAGTCAGCATTGCTTGAATTCTTTTGATCGCAAGTCTTTTGGTTCTCATATCCTCAAAATCTTGCTTTATTTTCCTAAGATAAGCTTGCACTTCGAATTCAGTTTTCCACTGTGTAGTGTTTAAGGCTTTATCTCTTCCCTTATTTAGTCATGGCCAAAAATAGCTGTACCCACACTCGATGGAAGTGAAAGTTGTTCGCAAGCAGCTTTCCATTGACTTGTCTGTAAGCCATTCAGTCTACTGGTAATCGTTTAGTGTGATTTATCCCCTGTTTCACAAAGGTAGGCTAGTTGCAGTGTAGAAGCAAGATGTGTGTAAAACACTTATGTGTTTAATTTATCAAGATGACAATGGTGGAGAAACTTAGCAATGAGAAAAAGGTGGAAGATTTACTACAGTAACTTGGGTAGTCTTAAGATATTTTCACTACCGAGTGGTTCCACCTTTATTTGGTTACCTTATCTTCAATAGCTCCTATTGGTCTGACGTAGAACACTGTAGTGTTCTCAGTGTGCAATATTGTATGACTAATCTGGCAACTTTGGAGGTGCAGTTGATCCTGTAACCAGCATTGCAGGGTCATCTTCAATGTATGGCATAATTTTAGCTAAGTGTAAGTTATGTGCCCCTCCTCCCTTCCCCCCAGTGTTCTTTCTAGTGTTGATTAATTTGGGACTTTCATAGCTAGTCACTTAACATAATGCATGTTCAGTTGCCAGTTCTCTGTGCTTCCCCTGTACTTGATATTCTGTGTAGGAGTTTTACGGAGAAAACATGAAGTTCTTCTGTTTAATGATTGTAGATGTTCAGTGGCATAGCAACTCTGACATCAAATGTTCAGAGTCATTACATTGGGTTAGAATTACAAATGTGTAAATGTTGAGCACTACACATCAGTGTTTTTTTGGCAAAAGTTTGTAAGCCTTAAGCACTTTATTGCCATGTGATTGATGGCTTTTTCTTTTTAATTGGTGGTTGACTTGTTCTGCTTCCGCAAGTATTGTAGTATTTATACTTAAGAGACACAAAGCAGGTGCTCATCAGTATTCTAGAGGAGGTTACTTGCAGTAGACTTGCATAACTGCCCTAGTCTTTGCAGGGATTTTTCGTCATGCAGACACCAAAAGCAGAGGGCTTCCTAGTTAACTCATCATTTAAGCTGTGTTTATTTAAAAGCTCAGAATGCTCTACTCATATTTAGAGGGCTAAGTGTTTTAGATCTCGTGCAATACAACTTACTTGGTTCCTTGTTAACCTCTGACAGCTACAGAATAACTTTAATTGCAAGATTTTGAAAAACATAGCAAAATCCTAATACCTGTAAACAATATGCTTATTCTTGGTTTCACTCTAAGCAGACAGATTGCTTAGCTTTTTTAAGAAGTCTGGTTTAAAACAGTGATTCCATTTGTAGTTTTAGTTTTCATGTTAAGTAGTAACTCCTGAGTGTCCAAAGGAGCCCTATACTAAAATGTTTCAGCCAGAAATGATACTGCTTTAGGAGGAGACTTGAGGAATTGTTTTGATGTCCTCCAGTGGTATCTCCCTCTCAGAATGCATGTACTCTGCTTTGTGGGCTTTTAATTTGTCAATTTGTCCAGCTTTTTGATTTTTAAAATCATTTTGCAGATTATAGGGTTTCCAGACATTGATGCAGATCAATTGCAGAACACCTAATTATTAGGCTGTATTTTGTGAAGGTGCTTGCCTAAAACATAAGGCAGCACAATGAGGGGAAATAAAGACGTTGCTAAAATATGGTGTGACAAAACAGCTTATACTAACCAACAGGTAAAAAGTTCCATTAAGATATACTATCAATCAGCGAGAAATTATTTTCTTCTCTATTACCACTCCAGAAAGTTGTGATAAGAGTATGGCAGCTTCAGGCACTATGTTTTTTATCTCCATCTTCCCACATTTGATTCTGCCTGCAGCTCTTCTAGAAAGGAAACAGAAACAAAGGAAAGACTGAGATACAGGTGTCTTATGGGGTACAACTGCATCCTTCAAATTGGTGTCTTTATTTGAAGACAACATTTCAGCCTGTGCTTCAAGGGCACTTAAGCTGCCTGAATGTTCTTAAGTTACTAGTGTACTGGATGGTAAGATGACTTAAAACTGAAAAACCAGGACAGGAAGCACTTGCATTTAGTGGCTGGTAGTAAGGGAAACTGGCCATAGTCTGGTTCTTGCCTAAAGCGTCACCTCATCAGTAGAAGCTTCTTCTATTTGTAGATGCTTTTATTTTTACTTTGGGAAGAATTGTCAGATTCTAAGCTGCACTGTGCTGCTTTTGATTGGAACTGCTGTTTCAAACATATGCATGAGAATTAATTTACAAGTTTTTGAAGCCTAGGAGGAGCTTGGGTATAGTCAGAACTGTCAAGCGGATGTGTGAGTAGTCTTCCAGCTGAAGTTAAGTGTACACAGTTTGTGTTTTTCAACTGTTTGATGTATTTGTGCTACAATTCGGTTTTCAAATGAGATCTGTTAAGCAGAAGAGCTGTTTTCTGTACTTCATGCTTCAGTATAGGGAGCCGTTCAAACATCTATGAGATCGAAGTTCAGAGTGTCGTATCTGGCTGCATCTAGTTTGTTTATTCAACCTGAACTTGCCTCTTGTACCTGCTTGCTTAAGGCCAGTTTAAATCTCTTGCATTAATTATTGTTCAAAGATAGTAACACTTCTAACTCTTAATTTCAGATGTTTGTCCTGGACAGAGTAGAAGGAGATAGCTGTTCTCTGAATGAATTTACTGTAACTGGTTCAACATATGCTCCTATGGGAGAAGTGTAAGTGTTCTGTTGAAGTTAAATATTTGTCTATTTTATGCATTGATTGTTAGTTCAGTCTTGAAAAGTGATGCATGTGATATTCAATAGTGATTGTTAATAAATGAAAGCTCAACCAGTGAGAATGCAAACTAAAGGGCTGGTGGGAAAATTAATTAACAGTAAACAAGTTAAGTTTCATGAAAATTTACTTTTCCAGAATTTATTTAATACAGTCTCCAATATTGCAGTGTTCTTTTGATAATTTGAAAATAAATTAGGAGTAGGGTGAGAGGATTTATTTCACTGAAATCTTGCTGGACGAAGATTAGCTATCCCAGTGCTTCAAAATGAGGGTTACTTTTTTAATTAAAAAAACCCCAAACAAACCCTGCATAAATCTGAAGAAGTGAGCCTCTGTTAATCTGTAAACTCAATGTTTCCAGTTCCCCTGCCTCAGAGAAGGCAGAAGATTTTCTTCTAAACTATCTTATGAATGTGTTGAAGTTAGTTCTTAAATTCTTGTATATACTGTAAATTTCTGTCCCCTACCCTCAAAAGTTGAACTCGGTGCATCTGTACTTGAGTAGGTGTGTGTGTTTGTCTCCAGCCTTTAGTATTTGAGCTGGTATTAAACCCACTCCCTTAGGAAAGGAATGGTAAGTTCAGTTTACTTTCTCAGTTGCAAGTCTCTGCTAGTGGAAAGGTGGTTCATCCTGACAACTTTAGAATTCTTGGGGTTCTGCTTCCAGAAGGGGAGCCTCTTCTTACTGGATTATTACAGCTCCTTTTACTTGGCCAATCTTTTCATGTGTTTTTAATCTTACCACTTCAGTTTTATTTGTGGAATAGAATTCTACTATGTATGAAGTAGAACTGAGATTCAGTTATTGCAAACATCTCAACCTTGTGGAGTTTCACATGCATGCCTCTGACTCTATGCAGTCTTCATCGATCTCTGTTTAATTTTCGTATCAGTTAAGACCATAGTGTTATCGGCAGCTGGAAATCTTAATTCCCCAATTCTCTTTTGTTTCAAAACTGATTGCTCTCAAAAGCTTATGCTTTCATTTCAGCAGACTGCATTTACTTAGGCAAGGTGACATTCTAGATCTGGTAAAGCATCCAGCTATTACGCTTTAGCTGGTCTCACAAGAGCTGTAGATAAACAAAATAATAAAATATAGTGTGGTGACAGATGTCGAGTACAATAAGACAGTCATCAATGTATGTTAATGTTCTATTTTTACTTGCTGAAATTGGGGAAATGTGAATAAGCATGTTAATTGCTTTGCATTCGCATAGATAAAGAACATTCTGTGAAAGCGAAACTACCACAGAAAGGCTGTTTATTGGACCATAAGGAACAAATACCTAAATTCTCAAACCTTTAGGGCCAATTTATTTCTGAATTTATGGATTTTTTTTTTTTTAAAGTCGGTGACTTTAAAGCAAGGTGACTGTCTTCACCTCGGATTACAAACTATCACTGAAAACAAAGGTTGATGGAGACCTTAAGAGGCAGTCTAGTCCATTGCACTGCCCCAAAGCAGGACATGCTCTAGATATGAACCCAGTCCTGACAGATGTTTCTTTGTTGTAATTAACTTCACATACTGTTGTCTTCCACAGCTCTATAGACAGCCTATTTCATAACCTTTAAGCGTTTTTGCAATAAATCAATTTTTTACTCAGTCTTAAAGTACTTGATACATAACTTCCCCTAAGATGCATTGGGAATATAAAATTACAAATATTTCTTACTGAAAAGCTAAAATTTTGTAGTGACTTATTTCCCAGGGGTGTTGAGAGATTGTCAAACAGTAGTTTTGTCGGGTCTCAGCATGCACAATGTGCATGCTTGCTTGCAAACTGAGAGCATAAAACTAAAAATAATTAAGAACTGCAGCAAAAGCTAGCAGATTGCATTTGACCTTCAAACGAGTTCATCTTTAGCTAATCAAAAAGCCTGAAGTTTTAAGAAAGAAACCAAAAAACTTTATGCAGAACTGACCCCAGCAAGACTCCATGTGCACTTGCCATTCTTCAGAAACTGTTGACAAGGAACACACAGGCAAGGGAAAAAAAACCCCAACCTGGTATAACAAGTTGTGGATATTCAAGTGTGCTTGTTTTCTTCAAGTTAAGAACAGGTGAAAGCAGGAAGTATTAGCTGTGATAGATGAGGTGACAAACAGAGAGCTGCTGGGAATTTTAAAGAGTTGAGAGTTTAAAGCCACTCTTACGGCTGTAGAATTCTATGCAAAATGAAACTTTAAAAACATACTTTTTTTTTTTTAAGATGTAGTTTCTTCACATTCTGCGTTATACAACATCAGAATTTATTTGCAGTACAAGAGACTGAACAAAAGCTTACATAATCAGATGTGTCATAGTCTTATGTTTTGAATTCTTGTGGAGTAGTGATCCATGTCTTTCTACCACCAGACCTTTTCTTTTTCCTTCTCGAGAGCTATATTAGTTATGTCTTGCTAATTTGGGGGGGTTGGGGGGGTAAATAACAGTATTGGACACTGTCTTGGTTCTTTCATGCTTACTTGAGAAGTATGCTAATGTTCCAGAAAATGAATTAATTTATTGTCTATTTCCAAATGTGAAAACAAAGTTGCTTCTTACTTGTCATGTCTAAATGGTGCATTACTTTAGGAAAATGTACCTTCCCTCTTTCTAAAGACTTCAGATATTCTTCATTAAGTGGATATGACTACTAGAAAAGAGTGTTTCTTTCCTAGTGGAATTTGTATTGTGAAATGACTTAGGTTTTCATGGATTTTGGAGGTTCACAAATCAGTTCTTAGGAAATTAAAGAGGCCGAATCTGCTCTTATGCCTGCCCATATCATGCATGCAGTAAATGTGTAGAATATGCAGTAAGACTAAAGAAGCTAAGCTCATAAGGTGTCGAAGTACATAATTTTCCTACTTGGAACTCCCCTCCATATCCTGTGTGTACTCTAATACTGCTTTCATATGCCTCTTCACTGAGCTCTTTACTCCTCTTCTATGTTGCTGTGCGGCTGTCACTGGAGGAAACAAGGTTTTGTAGTTCAGGTAGTGATTTCATTGATAATCATGTCATTCTGTTCATGACTGATGTAAACTTCAGACCTTGCCTTTATCAAACCTGCTCCTCAACAATTTCTGGTTCTGTAGTTCCAAGTCCATAACTAATAAGCATTGTACTAAATGGAAATACAGTAAAGGGATTAAAGAAGGTATAAAGGTGAGATGCTAATACTAAATAACTAACTTAAATTTCCTCCTTTTCTTCCTTTGGAAAGGCATAAAGATGACAAACTTATTAAATGTAGCCAGTATGATGGCCTTGTGGAACTTGCAACAATCTGTGCACTCTGTAATGATTCCTCTTTGGATTACAATGAAGTAAGTACATACCCTAGAACAGAGTGTGAGAATAAATGTTTGTTCTCATCTGTCTCTGTAATACCTTTCAGTGGTAAATCCCCTTCTAGTCAAGGGGGAGAGTATTTGGGTCCTCTTAAGTATTAATTCTGGGAGTTACTTGCTTGTTGAACATTGAGAAAACTAAAGCCAGGCAGCAAGTCTAATCTGGAATTTAGAGATCTCTTGCTGTATAGAATGCACTGCTACTTTCTTGCTTTGCATTGCCTCCTTAAGGTTACTACATCTCATAATGACTTAAATGCTTGATGACAAAGTACTGACATCCTTCTCAGCTGTTCTTGAGGGTAAAGGCTTGAAATCTCCTACAAGTCATACTCTTCAAAGTTGCTTTTTAAAAAATAGTTTTGCTTGTTTCATAAGCCATGGTCAGTTTTGTTAAGCTTTTTTTCCCTTGTGAAACTTGGAACTTTTGTCTCTGGTAGCTTCCAGGTGAGGTTTAAAGTAAACTCCTGTGCTTTTGTTTGCTTTGTGTTAACTAAAGGCTAAGGGAGTGTATGAAAAAGTTGGTGAAGCCACAGAAACGGCCCTTACCTGCCTGGTTGAAAAGATGAATGTATTTGATACAGACTTGAAAGGACTTTCTAGAATTGAACGTGCAAATGCTTGCAACTCGGTCAGTATTTTTTTATTTGGAATTCTTTGGGGAGTGAGTTTTGTAGTGCTTATTATCTAAATGCACTTTTATGCTATTTTTTTTTTAATAAGGTGATAAAACAACTCATGAAGAAAGAATTCACTCTGGAATTCTCAAGAGACAGGAAGTCTATGTCTGTCTATTGTACACCAAACAAACCAAGCCGCACATCCATGAGTAAGATGTTTGTTAAGGTCAGTTCCTCACTTGAGAAAGTGTAGTTATGGAATGGCTGCAAAGGCAGCACGATACTTAAATTATGGCACAACTAGCTGCAGCTTGAAGATGAAGGAAGGACTTTAATTTCAGCAAGTGTTGCAATGGAAAGGGATTAATTAGGCTAAATTAATTTTTTTTTTTTTGCCTCTGCAGGGTGCTCCTGAAGGTGTAATTGACAGATGTACCCATGTCCGTGTTGGAAATGCCAAAATACTATTAACCGCAGGAATTAAGCAGAAAATAATGTCTGTCATTAGAGAATGGGGAACTGGTAGAGACACATTGCGTTGCTTGGCTCTGGCAACCCATGACAATCCACCCAGAAAAGAGGAAATGAATCTTGAGGACTCCTCAAATTTCATTAACTATGAGGTAAGTTTAGTAAAACAGCCTTTTAACACTTCTCCCTTTCCCAAACTGGAGAATAGCAACTCCTTATGTTTGACTCTTCCTTGAGGAAGTTGTGCCTGAGAATTTTCTCTTTCTGGGTATTTTTTTATGTTGGATGCAATAGTTAGCCACATGTGTGGAAAGAATGCTCAGTTTAAGAAAGGTCTATATAGCTCTCTCAAGAAACTTAAGGGATAAAACATGGACTACTCTGTGGTTTATGATACCTGTCACTCCTACTTAATTCCCCCAGTTTATTTTGGGTTTAAAAGAATAACACTTCGCTTGTGTTCTTGGTGGCTGGTATATATGCTGCTGCTTGGATAAAAGTATAAGAAAAAAATAATATAAATAGCCACCTGCAAATAGCATTATTTTACGTATATATACATAAGATCCTCAAGATCATAACACCTTAAACTGTTTTCAGAGACTGACTCTGAAAAATATTCCAAAAACTGCATTGTTGTTTCAGCTTTAATGGTTTTCAGTTTGACATTGCTCAACTGCACAACCTCCTTGGGGATTTTGTGATGAAACATACCTGCCATTTTGTGCTCTGAGGGTCACATTTACTTCCCTTACTCCATACTGTCAGCTGCAAAAACTCTGTCCATGATGATCATCTTGGCTACTCTGTAATTTTCCAATGAAATCTGTATCTAGGATTTAGCAAGGGGGAAATGACAAACAGTTGCATGAGAGTTATTGGCTTGTGTTCTTGTACTCCTGGCACTGACGACAAAAAAGAAAGACTTGACTGTTTGCAGGTTGAATCTGCAACGCTGACAACTAGAGCGCATTTTAACTAATAAAATGAGTGCATTTGAAGCAAGGTATGTTTGGAAAGGTAGGATCCCATTTCAGAGTGTGGTCATGCTCTGGGAATTAACTGTGTCCTCCCATATGCTCATCATGTAGATGGTACCGTGTAGCATTGTGATTCCAAAAGGATTAAATTCTTACTTATCTCCTCATACTACTTAATGTGTGTATAGATCTGTGGCTTTTCAGTTCTTCAGCTGTCTCCATTCAGTGTCAGAGCTGAAGTGCTGTGAACACTTCACATGGTGAAACAGATAAGCCCTCTGAAGTAACCTTTGGGGTGGGGAACAAGCAAAACACCAACCAAAAAAAAAAACTCCTGATGTAAGAGCCAAGTGTATCATTCATAATATGCTGGTTTTGACCAAATGATGGGATGACAGGGCCTCAGTGTCTTAATTGCTCAATGTAGAACCACAGAATATTGTGGACAAGGAGTAAAAACAAATGTCACTATGCTGAGAGATATTTAGCATGCAAAAAAAAGATTGTTTTGCTAATGTCAGATGAGAAGTCTACAGGATCTTGCACTAAAACTTGGTGCTGTCTTGTTTCAGACCAACTTGACCTTTGTTGGCTGTGTGGGTATGCTGGATCCCCCAAGAATTGAAGTAGCTTCATCTATAAAGTTATGCAAACAAGCTGGTATTAGAGTTATTATGATTACTGGTGATAATAAAGGCACAGCAGTAGCTATTTGCCGTCGCATTGGTATCTTTGTGGAAGATGAAGATGTTTCTACAAAAGCCTTTACTGGTCGTGAATTTGATGAACTCTCACTCGCTGCCCAAAGAGATGCTTGCCACCACGCACGTTGCTTTGCTCGTGTAGAGCCTTCCCACAAATCTAAAATTGTTGAGTTCCTTCAGTCTTTTGATGAGATTACCGCTATGGTGAGTAATTGAATTTTCACTTGGTTTGAAAGGCAGACACTGTGTTTAAACCCACATTATGTCTTGTCAGAACTCAAAGCCTCAGAATAGTTCTGCACTTAAGTGTTGTTTTGTGGTGTTTTTTTTAAAGATCCAAAACCATACCCAGTACAAAACTCCTTTCTAGTCCTATATGTAAGTGCCCACCTTACCTTTTTTTTTCCCCAACTTCAAATTCTTGTTTTAGACTGGTGATGGTGTCAATGATGCTCCTGCATTGAAGAAAGCAGAAATTGGAATTGCTATGGGTTCTGGTACTGCAGTGGCTAAAACTGCTTCTGAAATGGTTTTAGCAGATGATAATTTCTCAACTATTGTAGCTGCTGTGGAAGAAGGACGTGCAATTTATAACAACATGAAACAGTTCATCCGTTACTTGATCTCCTCCAATGTTGGAGAAGTTGTTTGGTAGGTTTAAAATGTTTGGTTTTTTTCTTTGAACCAGAGTAGTGATGATGGAGTGTTGTTAGTTATTTACTTCCAGTATTTCTCACTAAAACCAGAGAAACAAGTTCTCCAGGTGATTGATCACTGTGGTGGTACAGAAGTCTGCATGCTTCTAGCCTAGTCTTTATGCAGAATTTTAGCATACCACAAAAGATTCACGTTGCATTCTAGCTCAGTAGGTGGCTAAATGCTTTACAATTATTTCTGTGATTGGAATAATTCTCTAGGAAAGGACAAATATTACAAGATCTGGTATCAGATAACTTAGCCACAGATACAACTTGGATGTTTGTTTAACCTCAAGTTACAGAAGAATGGGTCTTCTGTGTCTTTGGAAGGAACGGTGACCCAATGCCACAGAATGCGTTTCTGGTAACAGAATGTAAATATTGATCTCCTAACAGTTGCTTATATCAAAGCATACTTTCTCCCAGAGTGGAATATAACACAGCAATTGTCTTGTCTTGTTTCTTGCAAACTTTAAAGCTGTCCTTCATATGGCTCTTGCTGCAGCCCCTGTTTCTGTTCTATTTATTCACACAGGCTTGGAGCCATGAAAGCTACATGCTCATTAATTTTTTTGCAGGGACTAGCAGTAATCTAGCTAAATGAAGCTTGGTCATTTGGGCTAAAATGCTATTGTGTCTGCAGAAGTTTTAGTGTCTTTAGAAAGTGGCTTACAAGCCTTTATGCATGTATAATATATTTACCTATACAGGCAAGTAGAATGGGGAAAAAACACAACTAAAGCAGAAACTCTTCAGTTCCTGAAGTTACCAGAAGAAGATAATGCTTAAAAACTGACATGCCAGTGGTTAGAAGTGTTTGCTTTTGGATATATTTTTAGTTTTCTGAATGTGCATATTCAGCTTGTGATACAAAATGGATAACTCTGTATGAGAGAAGTGATGCTACAGGCTTAGGCTTAAGTGTTAAAAACTTACATGCACAAGAATAAGCTTATAACTGGTGGGTTTTTTATAGTATCTTCTTGACTGCTGCCCTGGGTTTTCCTGAAGCTCTAATTCCTGTCCAACTGTTATGGGTAAACCTTGTGACGGATGGTCTCCCTGCTACTGCTCTGGGCTTTAATCCTCCCGATCTTGATATCATGAATAAGCCACCGCGCAACCCTAAAGAGCCACTGATCAGTGGATGGCTCTTCTTCCGTTACCTAGCTATTGGATGTAAGTAGTAAAAGCTTTTTTTATTTTTTTAAGTAAACTTAAGCAGGTAAACTTTTTTTGAGATCCACTTGAAAGCAGTTTGTCATCCTTGTATGCTGAAATCTTGAAAGCTAGCAATAGATGTTCTGTGGAACTGGTATTCTTCCTTTATTTTGTTTTGAGATTCACACTTTGTTTTGCACATTTGCAGGCAATGCTGTGATCGGAACAGTAAAGTTTTGGCTTATTTTTGTGGAGTTTTTTGGTTTTTTCCCACCCCATTGGTGGCAACTGAGGCACGAAAAGACCTAGATGCATAACATCAGTATGACATTCACCACTTTGTTAGAATCTCTTGATTTGGGTAACTAGGAAACCATTAGAAATTTTATATACTGCCATACTGGATTAGACCTTCAAAATTGTCTGATAGTGGGTGATGGTACAGTCCTCAAAGAGAGAGAAGCCCTTCAGGGGTAGATGAACTTAGGGCGAGTCCGACCTCTGTTCTGAAGCAGCCACCTACTTGCCTTTTCCCATTTGACTCATTCCAGGCTGAAATACTTTTAGCTCAAAGCATTGAGATGGCAGACTTCAGCTTGTCCATGCAATAATTCTAAGCCTTAGGAAGATGAGCATGTTGAGGGCTTGGGATTGAAGAGCCAAGACCAATGACTAGTGAATGCACACCCACATTAGCTGTTGAGGTTGTACGTAGAATTACTTCCAAGTCTGAAAATGACAACTGTCAAGTATCTAATGTACTAATTTTGTGCTTAAGTAGGGCACAAGAGGTTTGTTGGCATGGCTATAATCAGGGAAAATAAAGGAGTATCAATTCATTAAATCAATGGATGTAGATTTAAACCTTAAATATAGCTATACTACTGTAAAGCTAGAATAAGTATTTACATGGATACTTAATGCACACTGTCTTCATGCCAGAAGTTGTGACCTTAATTTTCCTAACTGACTTCATGGATCTTAAAGTAAACCTCAGTAGTAGTTAATGTAAGTACAGACAGATTGGGTTCTGAGAGGAAAAAAGAAAAACTTCAGGTTGATTACTCCAAGTGATATCCTTGTTTGCCTTAAGTGTCAGCTTCCATAAGCAGATACTAGGATCTGTCCAACAGTACGATATTTAATGGTTACTTAATTTACAACCAGTGGAACAGATCTCTTGCGTAGGAGGTAGATGAATTACGGTCCATTTCTTTACAGTACTGGAGGTCTCAAGGTAGAGGTTCAAGTGTGGCAAGTAAGATCATCTCTTGCATACAGTTCACAACACTGAAAAAAGCACTTTGTTTTCTTTAAGGTTATGTTGGTGCTGCCACCGTGGGTGCTGCTGCTTGGTGGTTTATTGCTGCTGATGGTGGTCCAAGAGTTACCTTTTATCAGCTGGTATTTGCTCGGTTTAATATCTTTGGGGGGAGAGGGGAGGTACATGCTTCTTTAGTACTTGTTACTTGAAATGACTGTAGAAAAATAGTAGGTTACAGAAACTTGTATAATGAGACATTTTCACACTTGTTACTGTAAGACTTCATCATGATTAATGAGTCTTAGTGGTAAAGCTCAAAGACGGGATACCTGAGGTTCTAGACAACTTGAAGGACTAATTGTTGTCTTGTTACTAAAAGACTAATGGGGAGTTTTCTACAGCTGGCAAAAGTTTAAAATGAGAGCTTATAGGAGTTGTATTTGAAAGTTTTGTTTTCATAATTCTCACTGTTTTATTTCATAATTGCCTATTTTACATTTTAAAAGTTAACAAGCTGTGGAAGTGAGTTCATGTTGTTCTGTTCTAGAGCCATTTTCTGCAGTGCAAAGAGGACAATCCAGATTTCTCTGGTGTTGACTGTGTGGTTTTTGAGTCTCCATATCCAATGACAATGGCTCTTTCTGTACTTGTCACCATAGAGATGTGCAATGCGCTCAACAGGTTCGTATGTCCAAATAGGAAAGCAAAGTTTCTGCATAGCTTACCCAAAGTCCTACCTTCTGTGCCATTTGATTCTTCCTGTATGGACAGCTCAACTAATGAAGAATGAGTCATATTTTCTTTCTGAATCCTGGCAGTGCAAACAAAGTAACTCTCTTAGATAACATTTGTGATCTCTTACCATAAGGTATATTTTTAAGTCTGCCAATTCACTCTGGTATTTTACTAAGCATGAGCAACTGAAATATTTTCCATTATTTCTAATCTAAGCTTAATCAATCAGATTATCCCTCATATGTTGGTATAAAGTGATATCAAGGAGAACTAAAATAAGAATGCTGAAGATATGGAAAATAGTTTTTCCTGCCCTAAGGGAATGTGGGTTTAGCCAATTAATATTAGATTATAAATGGAAACTACGAAATAGCACAATGTCAAGGGTATTTTTCTTCAAATAGCTTAGAGGTCAGTTAATTTAAAAACAAATAAACTTTAAATACAAGTGTACTGCAGTAGTCCTACATAGTAAGATATTGCTCTATATCTGATGTTCTGGATCTCGGCCTCTTCTGCAGCGTAGCCTAAATGCAGATTGAATCTGAAGAGTAAAATGAAAGAACAAGCATTAAGAAGATGCAAGAACTTGACCCTCTGTATCCAGTGTTTAAGGGACCTTCAGAAGAAGTGGGTGCACTAGTGGGTGTACAATAGGCTGGGGAGGATTCTGTCCCACGCTGCCATGCCCATCTTTCCCTTATCCCTCCCATGCGGAGGATGTCGGGGCCTTAGTGAAAAAGGTAGACTAGATCAGGAATGAGCAGAACACACAAAAACTTTGAAAATAAACGTGACTCTGAACTGTGACTGCTTTGCTAAGCAGGCTTCCAAGGTAGTTTAAAGCTGCAGCATATATAAACCATATCTTGGTATCTTTCTTTCCTTCATGACTGGGATAATTGTGGCTTGCCATGCTGCTTTTCTTTCCAGCTAGTTTTCTGATTCATTGAATTTCTTACTTGTGTCTTATGTACACGTATGTACCATGCTTCTATTGCAGTCTATCAGAAAATCAGTCCTTGATGAGGATGCCCCCATGGGAAAATATCTGGCTGGTGGGCGCAATTTGCTTGTCCATGTCACTCCACTTCCTTATCCTTTATGTGGAACCGCTGCCAGTAAGTGCGTGTATCTTTCTCCAAGTTCAGGGACGGGCATTTAGAGCAAAAACTTGTCTGGAGCTTAAGGCAAGGGATGGAGAGGGAGAAAAGATGTAACACTTGGCTTTTCTTTCAGATTATCTTCCAGATCACACCTTTGAATGTGACGCAATGGCTGATGGTATTGAAAATCTCACTACCTGTCATTCTGCTGGATGAAACACTTAAATATGTGGCCCGTAACTACCTGGAACCTGGTAAAGATAGTTTGCGGCCTGCCACCAAACCATGTTCTTTGTCAGCATGCACCGAAGGAGTTTCCTGGCCATTTGTGTTCATTACTATGCCCTTGGTTATCTGGCTTTACAGCACAGACACTAACTTTAGTGATATGTTCTGGTCTTGACTGACATGGTGACAAGTTTTACATTCAAAGAAAAAGTTTAACTTAATTTTTTTATTGTTTAGAGCAACTGTCTATTTCTGCTGAATTTTCACATGAACATATTTGCCGGTGATGGAGGTTTCATAATCTAGATTTTGGTTTTTTGCTTTTTCTGACTTCAGTGGGGGCAATATATTCCTCTTTTATACACAGTTAAAGTGTCCATTGACATGTACAGAGAACTAACACTATTTTATGCAAATATTTTTTTGTAGATGAAAAGCATGTACAGTGTTCTGTTCAATAGTCTATTCATCATGTAAAAAAAGCAAATTTTTTTTGAGCCAGCGGACACTATTAAACTAAATTGGCAGCAGATTTTAGGGAATGAATGTGTGTTGTCTAAAACTAAAAAAGCATGTAACTGTGTGTCTTCTGCATGATCATCCAAACTTAATTTGTCAAAGTCAGGTTTTATTCATAAGCAGAACTTTCTGCACTGGGTAGAGAGTACTGCTACCTCAGTCAGGATTTCTTCTTGGTTTCCCCTCTTCGTATTCCCTCACTCTTGGTTCTTGACTGTCCTTGTTTACACCAGTTTCTGTATGAGGTATGTCTAATCTTGCTCGTGCAGAAAATACCATTCCAGGTGCAGCCTGCTGGGGTTTTTCCATAATCTTAACACACATAGGGTTGTTTTTTTTAAGATTATTTATTTAAGTGTCTATTGTATTTTTATTGTAACACACCTTATTTTGCCAGTGTTGCCCGTTATGCAGGGGTAGGGAGGACTAGATCTGACTATTTAAATCTAAAGCAAGCCTTTTTAACAAACACAATCAGTTTTAATTCCAGAAGAGGGTTTAAGTTGGGTTTTAATACCTTATTTACATGTGTCAGATCCTTCCACCCCCATTCCTCCTTCTTAAGATCAAAACTTGTAATGAGACCTGGAGAAATAACTTGCACTGCATAGCTAGAAATTGGATTTCCTACACTTAAGGCACTAATGATCAGTTGTATACGTGGAGTTACTCTGCTGGCCTGTTGTTAGCCTGACTTGAAGTAACAAGCTCGTGTGTGTGTTTTGTAAAATCTGTAAATAGCACATGACCAAATTGAACATATTGTATAGAACTATTTTTATTTTAATGTGGCACTAACCACCTTCATTATTACGGTAAATGTTAAAGCATGTTTTCAGATTCAGTCCTGTATCAACAATGTGTAAGTCATTAACAGTCCTAACTGTGGTGTTTTTCTCCAATGCCTTCCAACTTTCATCGACTAAAGTGAGTATTTCTCTTCCATTTCACCATGCCAGTGGTGACTTGCTGTAAAATAGCATATGCTGTATACGTGTTGAAGAATAAATAGTAATTTCCTTCATTCCCATGCCGTGTTTTGTCAAACTCTGCTGTGCTACATTATTATCACCACTTTAGACTCTTTGTTTTGTGGTCTGAAGCTCAAATTACTGATTCCAAAGGCAAAGAGCACTCGCTTTTGGTTTAGTGTATTTTAGGTTTTGTCTTCTAGCACTCAGGAGCCTTAGTGCCCCAAGATCTTACAGCATTTGGTCTTAAGTTCAAGATAAAATTGGACAAATCTGTAACTTAAGACAGTGACAGCTGTTCACATGAATGTTTAGTGTCCAAAACACTCTGGTACTTGTGGTCAGGTGCTGGTTTACTCCAGAGCTTTTTCCTGCTCTGAAATACGGGATGCCCCTCTGAGCTGACCATCTTTCCCAGCGGTGCTCAAAGTGCAGGCACTCCTCTTTGCAAAAACAGCTTATTGTTTCCAGTAAGTGGAAACACTTTGTACAGTGGTCATATGAAAATACAAAAGAACAGTCTCAGCTTAACAGGATAGTCTTTGAAAATTGTACTGGGGTCACTATGTCTTTGTAGAGTAGCAGGTGCTGTGTTATCTTGTGCTGGCTCAGTCTGCTTTAACAGCCAAATTCAGACAGCTTTCTGATTCCTCATAGAGGAAAATGATAGTTAAAAGCTATGTTCTGTTGGTGCCAGCTGGAATCCAGTGAGCACAGATAATTCTCTTAAGTTTCAAGCACTCAGATACAGATGCTAACCTCAAAATACACAGATCCTATCTGAAGTTCCATAGCATTGTGAGTACTCACTGTTCATATGGACTTTGACTTGTTTAAATTGATGCAGAAGTGACTGAGGAGCTGGACCTGATGATGTAGTAGGTGTGTTGCCAAACTGTAAGCATTTAAATCCTGTTGAATGCTGTCTTTAGTGTGGAAGAACCTGTCTCTGCCAAACTAAGGTCTTGCATACCACAAAACCAATGGCAGATCAGTAATAAATCAGCACTATGAGACTTGTCCCTGTTTCTTGAAACAGAAGGATAAAAGGTCATGTGACTTAGGACTCTTTGAGATTAAGATATGTACAAGTATGTTATTTGTTGGAAACAAATACTAGCAAGTTAGTTCTGTGTGCTCCCAACATTACTGACAAACATTTTCCAGGGCAGGATAGTTTTGTGTGAACCTTCAGAGCACCGTGTTGGTGGGCTTCTTAAAGCCATGTATCTGACTGTTGTCATGAACGATTCTGCTTCTTGGGCAATCCTATTCCTGTCTATTATGCCAAATAATCCTGCTATACACCCCCATTTTCCCTGTCTCTAAGAAGCTGAAGGGGAAAATGACTGTTGATGAGTAGAATTCAGTCTTCAACAACTTCTTTGTTGGATCTCTGTCTGTGTTGAAGATGAATCTTACTGCTTCTGTCATGGATTTGCATACTGGCATCTGAGAGTTCATTCCTATCACACATCCTGGGAGCACTTGCATTAGAGCCTTGTGTTCCTTGGATTTTGCCTTTGAAAGCTGGATGACTGGTGGGTAAATGGAGTAGCATTCATCCCTACAGACTCCTGAGGTTATGGGAACAGTCAGGTTTTATGAAGTGCTCCTAAAGATCCCAAGCAATCTTAAATCTATCCTGTTTTTATTTCTCCCAGTCTTGCTGTCCAAATTTTCCTGTAGGAGTAGAGGAATAGGGTTCCCAAGGTTCCCTAAGATCAACACTTAACATATCTCAGGTTCAATGGCAACTGTTGCTATGCTTTCAGTACTTCTGTTTTCCAAGTGTTCAATATAAGTGTAAAATACCACTATGTGGTAAATACCAACCCTGTGTGGTCTGGACTGGGCAAATACTAAGACCTTCCTAGGCAGTGAAGCACCCTGCCCTGAAACCACTGTCTGCTGTGAGCTTCCTTTTAATCTTGGAGCTGGAGTGCTGTGGATCTGATCTCAACCCTTCTCAGTTGAGTAGGCTGTGGGAGGTTCCTCAGGTGTGCTTTTGGGATTAGAATAGCATAAGGCAACTGATGGCTTGGCTTTTCAATTAAAGAAACTATAGAAATACAGTGCAAGGTTAGTAATGCACTGCAAAAAAATGTGTTAATTTAAATGCTTATTGTTAATTGTGTAGATCTTAGCTATCGGTCCTTTCATCTGGAGAAGCCAAGAAGGGAGGACGTTTCCATTTAGAATAGACTTACTTGCCAACTTCTCAAAGTTAAAACTCACTTAATTTCTTTGTTCCCTACATATTTCTTCTCCAGCCTCCTCACTGTACTAAGGTCATCTGGGGATAGAATAGGTAACTCCTATTTTAATGCGTTAGCTCTGTGAATATATAAATGGAAGCACTTATTTAAGCAGAAATAACTCAAAGTTACCCAGGTTTTATCTCCCACCCCGTTTTTAGAAAATGGCTTCATACTTTTTGTTTCCATTTTTCTCTCCTCTCACTGAACTTTTTCATCTCTGCTGTTTTCTGGATTCCTTAGTAACCTCACATACTGCTACTCGTTTCCTAGTGGGAGAGGTGTGTAAGACTAGTATTGATTGTGTGATTGATGCTACCTTATGCTAGGAACACCAGGAAGGATATCACCTTATGCTGGGAAACCAGTGGGGTTTGTTATTAATTCAGTCTTCTATAGCCTGGTCCAAATCAAGAGCAACAAAAGTGGTCAGGCAGCTGCAGGCATACGTCAAATATTTAGACGGGGGCTTTTCTCTTTGTAGTGCCTCAGGCCCTCTCTGCTTTCAAATGTGAGTGATTCAAAGTACTGTTTGTGAACTACACGATGAGTTGCTCCTTTGCTGGCATCCAAGCAATAAAAATAGTTCATACTTGGTTTCCCCAAAGTATTATTGCAAATAAATAAGTATGAGAGAAGGCTGCAGAAAAATATATACCAGTCTGTCAAAATGCTATGAGGCTTACATTTGTAGGGAGTCCATTTTGGAGAAGGCTAATGGTAAGAAAATGAGTTTTTAATCTGATGATAAAATGCAGTACAGCAGTCCTCTGTCAGTGTTGCAAGAACACAGCCGATGCACAGAATACACATGGTAAACGGCTTAAAGACGGTTGATTTTGCTGAGATGAAGGGAGGTAAAACTGATACAAAGTTGTCTGTCTCTTGCACCTGTCTCGTTTACTTTTTTGCACTTCTAACCATTAACTGTTTCCCTAATCTCTGCTAATTACATCCTTAATTACATTAATATGCATTTTCAAATCTTAGCAGGAGAGCCTAAATTTTACAGTGTTGAAGCAGTGTTTTGAAGAGCCACCATCAAGTTCTAGGAAATCAGAGTACACTGTTCTTCTCTCCTAGATGCAAGGCTAACCTTACGCTGTATTTTAGGGGTAAAGTACAGTGGTAGCTTTATTACATTGTACTCTACCCTTTGTCTACGCATTAATCTGTGTAGTTTTAATGACTTCTTCAAAGCTTTCCTCCTGCTTCCCAGAATAAGCTGCTTAACTTGGAAAAGGGACATTGTTAGGTCACTTTGGGGCCAAACTTGCAATATAATGCCTTGATTAGAAAAACACCCTTAAAGTTCTTAAAAACTTGAGCTCAAACTGTGCAGTATGGAACTTGAAAGTAAAAAATTAGAAATAAGTGAGACTTGTCTATTGTCCCTAGTCGGGCAGAGAAAGGCAGAAGCTATCTAAATGTGTCCTAACTCTTTCTCACTGCAGTCTTCTGTAGGAAGTGCTGGCTTTGCTGGTGACAAAGGGAGCTCTGCTGCATTCAGAAGAGCTGGGCCATAATCCAGAGGGTTCTAGGCTTTAAGCACAAAGTAACCTGAGAGTGTCCCTTCAATGACAGAGCAGCCAGTTACCAAACTTAACGTTCTCTCTCCTTTCACTGTTGATCTTAGTCTTGCTTTTATAATGATACTTAGCATTCATCCTTCCATTAACTGATGCCTTTTCTTTCTTTCCTTTTCAGCAATACTGGAGTAATCACTTCCTAAACAATTTTGCAGAAATGTAAGGTTGTTTCGTTGCGTGCATGTGTTTTTAGCAACACATCTACCAAAACTTCTGCATGTATCATGTGTAAAGATTCTTTGCTTTCCCTAAAACAAAACTCATTGTGTTCTCTGTGGAAGAAATGTGTGGTACCATTAGGACTTCATTATACAGATGTACAAATGTGCAATATAGCTTACCGAATTGGAAACTCTCTCCAGAGAAGTTTGGTTTCTGTGCTGCATGGAGAAGAGTTTGTTTATCCTTGAGCAAGAATCGTGGAGCTGTCAGCCAATTTTCCACAGTTCTGTATGTAAAATGTCAGTTTATAAAATGTACAATATCAGAATAATGCATGCCTTCGGTTGTAGACAAATCTTTCTCTGTATTGTATCATCCAAGCGAACTACTCTATAACAGCTTATGTACAATGCTATCCTATTTATAAAATTCATTGAAAAGATTACAGATGAATGTTAAACCATAAGCCTCCAGTTCATAACTTTGGATTTTTATCATATGTGCAAATGAACTTACTTTGCACTGTAATGTAACTTATTTAAATCTAAGGCAGTAAGACAGATGTTGGTGCAATACAAAATATTGTGATGCGTTTATCTAAAAAGCAATGACTTAGCCAGTTATCACAACTGCATGTATGACTTTCAGAAGTTGTAAATACGATCAATCGTCTATTTACATGCTGACAGCAAGAAGCATCACACCTAGTTTCATTTGTATCAGGTAAATAAATTTATTCTATAATACATACTTTGCGTGTTATTTTATGCACTTTGTTTTCTGCAGGTACATGCGTACATATTTCAGCGCTCTCTTATATTAAGGCCAGGATGACACTTACTAGCACCAACACCATTGCAGTCTTTCCTCCTAGAACTATGCAGATGCCAGCTGCTCCTCCGGCAGTATTGACCTCCTCGCTGGTGTGATTTCCTCTGTCCAGAGGCTTGTGTGTGTGTGTGTTTAAGGGACACTGTCAAGTACTTTGATCACTCAATTTTTTTAAAATGCTCCATTGTTTGTAAAATCCCTCTGAGAAATTTA